AAAATGGAAGTGTAAAAGTACAGTACCTTATGCTGACAAGAAGTTGGCACACTCTAAAATGCAGGATAAGAGTCTCAGAATGTTGTAACTAATGCTTTAGTCTCTAGTAGAAGACAGTAAGGGTCATGATGGATAAATAAGCAGCATTGGCGGCAAAGCTTCGCATTAACTTGGAAGCTACATACACAACCCTGCTATATGTGATAATTTTGAGCTACCTCAAGAAATTCACAATTTTCTGCGAGAAGAAGATTTTGAAAGCTTTTTCTGAAACTTAGAGAAGGTTGCAGCTTGTATTAATAGGTTAAAGTGCTCCTACAAAGTTGTTATTTTACATGATTTTCAGTTTTTCGTCTATGAGGAAACTCCTTTTTTATCCGGATAAAACATAATTCTCGAAAAATAAACAAGGGGAATCCCTTGATTTCTGAGATATTGTTTGTGAAAGCACGCTACGTCATCAATAAAAAAAATCACATCTTTTAATTCATTCAAGTTTGGTTTAGAGGTAAAAATAGCTATATGCGAAATTAATATGAATGACTTTTTAACGCTACGTTAACTGACCATATGTGCGAAAGTATCTGGTGTTTATAAAGAGTAAAAAGTACAATTTTTTAGCCAAATTACAATAGAACATTCAAAGCTATTTCTGGAACGGCTTGATAAATATAAAAATAAATACGGAATTCAACAACTGCCAACGACACGCGACAAATTAGCAAGTGATGATGCAGCAGTTTGGCCATTATTTATGCCGAAATATAATCGATTAAATGCAGCTCTGATCAAATTTACAACGTACACGTAAATTAACTTTTCTGGAAATTAGTTGCCATAAAACAGTTACTCACCAAAACTTAACATTTGTTCTAGGAAGAAATACAAAGTAGAACTAGAGCCTTAATAAAAGGACGATTAAAAACATTACGCTTAGCATGGTGTGTTTGTTTTTGAAACGAAAATTTTGGGTACCCACTAATTTACTTTTTGATATTTGTTTATTGATATCATTAATTTATAAGAAAAGAAAACGTACAAACGTTAAGATAGAACATTACAAAATTATTGTCAAGGTCAAGAAACGTAATGTAATCGTTCAGAAGATTGGAATTTATGGATGTATTGGACAAAGGTTCATTTTGAAGCAAAAACTATTCTGAGAATAACTAATTGCAGAATATGATATGATATTCCATGCAGTGCATGGAATAGCAGAAACAAATTCCGTGCTTCAATCATGTTTAAAAACTCAAACTAGATGTTAGAAAAGTTATTGAGTGTTTACTGCAAAAATTGGAGAAAATATTTACTTTCTGGAAAAAAAAATTCTATGTAATTTTAAAATCATCTAATATCCAGGTTTATTTCAAAGTCTAACACTTGAAGAAGTAAAATCTTAACGGTTAACTAAATTGAACAATAATAAAATAACTTAGGCCTGTATTCTGGAATGTTGTAAAACTTAACGGTTTAGATCTTGAGTTCTTTTAACATATCAAGTTTGTAAATGCAGAATTCACAACAACAGATTGACTAAGAATTGAGAAATTCGCTCAAGAATTTGAGGATATTGTCAATTTTGACTCTTTCAAGAATTGTTCCTCAGAGTTTTGAAATTATAAATCAAAAGCTTGAGTACTTAATGCACTGGGGTGCACATGAGGTTATGGTTGATTTCTGAAAGATAGAAAGGACAGGATGAATTTTAAACTTGAGTTTCCCTAAAAAGTCATATGTATGATGCTAGAAATCTCAGCAACAAGTGTTTATTAATGTGATGTATTTCTTCTATTATAGTTGGTCCTGGAATCATTTAATCAGAGATTTTGTTGTAAAAGAAACAACCTTTGCTCAAAAACCGTTAATTAAACAGTTAACAAATATAAGTTCGTATAAAATCCAGTTCTTGGAATATGAGTATGAAAATTTCCCAAAGTGTTAATAAAAGTGTCGTCTTTCCAATGAACCAACCCGTTTTGAAAAATAACTTTTAGTTTTTGAGAAAACAGTATTTGAAGTTTTGATAAAATTTTCGATGTTGCAATTTTCATCGATAATTTTCAAAATTCGCTATAAAATTAATTTCTTGAAGGATCCTTGTGGAAATATCACCAATTATTAATTAAAGTATCCTCTTTTTAATGCAACAAGCCGTTTTGAAAAATCACTTTCAGTTCTTGAGAAATAAATTTTTGAAATGATCGATAATTTTTTCGAATTATGCAATTTTCACCGATTAAGTTTTAAAAATTCGTATAAAATCCAGTTCTTGGAATATGAGTATGAAAATTTCCCAAAGTGTTAATAAAAGTGTCGTCTATCCAATGAACCAACCCGTTTTGAAAAATTACTTTTAGTTTTTGAGAAAACAGTATTTGAAGTTTTGATAAAACTTTGGATGATAAAATGAGTAAAATTCATTTCTTGAAGGATCCTTGTGAAAATATCGCCAATTATTAATTAAAGTATCCTCTTTTCAGAGTTGTTTCGTTAGTTAAATCAGCACCCAAAAAGTTCATTTTGTATCTTGGATCCAAATAAGTGGCTATATCTTATCAGCTTTCTTATTAATTTCATTTTTATTCAAATATCGCAACAATGTGTCAATATAAGGTATCACTTCAGAAATGCACCAGAAATTATATCTGTTGCATCACTAGTATTCATAAATAACCCTTCATACACATCATATACATGCATCGATGTAAGGAAATATTCGAAAATATGAGAATTAGAAGAATTCGTAATTTCACAAGTTACTAAAGGAAGAAACATGGTATTCCGTGCATGATATAGAAAAACTTTTAAAACAAAAGTTGTAGCAAATTTTACCATTTACATATTGCTCTCTAACACTTTTGCTCTCAGATGTATCAATATATAGACACATTCAAAAATATGAAAAAAGAATCTACCATGAGTGAATAAAAAGTGTTCCTATGAGTTGTAGAAATTATGCTTGAGATCTAGAATTTCCAACTTTGCAGTTCACGTAGACTTAAGAGTTCGAAACAGCAACGGCTGATATTTCGTTCCATCTCATCTAAAATGTAAAAGCATCACCTCTTTAATATTGNAAATTCGCTATAAAATTAATTTCTTGAAGGATCCTTGTGGAAATATCACCAATTATTAATTAAAGTATCCTCTTTTTAATGCAAAAAGCCGTTTTGAGAAATCACTTTCAGTTCTTGAGAAATAAATTTTTGAAATAATCGACAATTTTTTCGAATTTTGCAATTTTCGCCGATCAAGTTTTAAAAATTCGTATAAAATCTAGTTCTTGGAATATGAATATGAAAATTTTCCAAAGTGTCGTCTTTACAATGAACCAACCCGTTTTGAAAAGTTACTTTTAGTTTTTGAGAAAACAGTATTTGAAGTTTTGATAAAATTTTGGATGATAAAATGGGTAAAATTCATTTCTTGAAGGATCCTTGTGAAAATATCGCCAATTATTAATTAAACTATCCTCTTTTCAGAGTTGTTTCGTTAGTTAAATCAGCATCCAAAAAGTTCATTTTGTATCTTGGATCCAAATAAGTCGCTATATCTTATCAGCTATCTTATTAATTTCATTTTTATTCAAATATCGCAACAATGTGTCAATATAAGGTATCACTTCAGAAATGCACCAGAAATTATATCTATTGCATCACTAGTATTCATAAAAAACCCTTCATACGCATCATGTACATGCATCGATGTAGAGAAATATTCGTAAATATGAAAATTGGAAGAATTCGTAATTTCACAAGTTACTAATGGAAAAAAAACTGTATTCTGAGCATGATATAGAAAAGGTTTTAGAACAAAAGTTGTAGCAAATTTTACCAATAACACATTGCTCTCTAACACTTTTGCTCCCACAATCAGATGCATCAATGAAGAGAAATATTCGAAAATATGAAAATTAGAAGAATTCGTAGTTTCACAACTGGTTAATGGAAAACATGGTATTCCGAGCATGATATAGAAAAACTTTTAGAACAAAAGTTGTAGCAAATTTTACCATTTACATATTGCTCTCTAACACTTTTGCTCTCAGATGTATCAATACAGAGACACATTCGAAAATATGAAAAAAGAATCTACCTATGAGTGAATAAAAAGTGTTCCTATGAGTTGTAGAAATTATGCTTGAGATCTAGAATTTTCAACTTTGCAGTTCACGTAGACTTAAGAGTTCGAAACAGCAACGGCTGATATTTCGTTCCATCTCATCTAAAATGTAAAAGCATCACCTCTTTAATATTGATCAAGTAATTACCGTTTCATTGAGTTCAATTTACAACTCAAAATTAATAATGAGTTCACTGAATTCAATTTGAATTCATGTCATATAATTTTTGTTTGCTTTATTATATTATAATTAATGACGATAATTAATGATTATAATTTAACAGACGTAATTAAACGTCTATAGTACCTATCAAAGAGTAAGTAGTACATTTTGAGTTTATATCTTTGATTATGTATCTCAATTGTATTTTTGTTGTGTTTTGGTTTAAATAAAGTTGAAAAGTTGAGTTGCGTGTTATAACAGAATACCATATTATGTAATTATAGCGTTAAATTTTAGTTTCAAGAAATATCTTTAATGATATATAATGATTCCAAAATAACTTTCAATCTCATTCCTTTTATTGGCCCAAGAAAAAGTTTCAATTCAAAACAAGAATAAACCGCCTCAATCTAAATCGTAAAATTGTCAATAAATCTGAATTTAGAACCAACAAACTTTTCTTCAACGTTTTTATAAACCAGATGCTTGATGTCGCTTTAGTGACATTTTGGTCTCAACACAACTACGATACAAGTTGTAAAGTTCACCTAATCGACTCGGGAATGTTTACACCCAAGCTGCCAAATAAAATATGGATCGTGTGCATAGTTCTATAACACCAAATTATTTTTTTTACATCACCTTAAAGTTATTTTTTAAGAGAATTCTCGGCTAAACTTTAAAAATAAATCAAAAAATCGTTTTGTTTCAGGCATGGATTCAGTGTATCCAGAACCGATGTCTCGTCTTCATAGAAGAGTAGTTCCTAAGAAAAGAAGAGGAACATCAACGAGATATAGAACACAACCGGTTACATTTTCGGAAATTCAAGTAATAATAAATTTATTTTTTGATATATTTTGTTTTAATTAACTAATTTATTTTGTAGGAAGTAGATGAAGATAATTTAGAAGAAACATCAACTGCACAAACATCGTCAACCTCAAGAACTGATTTAAGTGATTTAAACAGCAAATTTGAAGAATTTAAAAGGGCGAGAGATATAGCGTTAAGTAAAATAGACCAGGATTCTATGGATGTGAATAAAAATCCTGTTCCTTTGACGACTTCAAGATCTATGGGGAGGTTGCCTTCGAGGCCATCCCTTTAAACGCATCAATTTTTATTTAATATAAATAATATAATTTTTTGTTTTCTGTTTATTTTTTTTAACGTAATTGTTGTATCGTGAAAGTGATTACGAAATAATCACTAAATTTATTATTAAATAAAAAAAGTGTACGTAAAGCATATTTTTATATATGAATAAATCTGTACAAATACCTGAAAAAAAGCAATAAAGATTTAAATCAAAATGTATTTTCCTATTTTGTAATTTAATTAATGTAAAACGAATTTTGTAGTTGTTTTTAGACTGTGAGAATTGTATTATAAATTTTATTGGAGTAGATGAAATAAAAAAAATCTTGTCTACTTTTAATTTGTTGCATAAATATTTTTGGATTTTCCTTCGAAAAACTTGCATTTTTAATACACGTATGTTAGTCCACGTGGCTTTGAAATAGGCGATTTACAAAATACCCCAAAGCGTTTGACGTCACGAAGTTATTGGAGTATTTATAGATTTCGCAAAACGGCGAACCGTGTTTATCAAATATGTTAATTTGGCGGTCATATTTTCAATTAAAAGCTCAATTTTAAAGAGATTAAAAATGAATTAGGAATTAAAACGAAAATCGTGTTTAGGTAGAAGATTATTTAATATCATATTTTTCAAAACATGTATCGGGGCGTAAATTAACATCCCATTTTTTTTTTCAATTTAATATATAAATAACATCTTTCTTTTCTTATGTATACACATCTCTTTTGTCTTAAATATTTTCTTACACAACTCTTTTTGTTTCGTATAAATTATCTTACTTACATTAGGAGAAATAAAACGTTTTCTTATTTTAAACGAAATTAAAGAGGTAAGAACAAAAAGAAATAAAAACATTGCCTATAAATTAAAAAAAAAACTATTAATAGATAAAAAGGACTTAAGGCTATTAATATCACGCATCCGAAATTGATCGGAATCAGTATGTACAAATGCAATAAATATATTATACAAAATTATTAAAATATAAAGGGGGTAAAAATTCTTTTTTAAAATGTATTTTTTATAATAACAATACAAAATAATTTATTTCTTTTTTTTGTTTAAATAGATTTGAGGTTGGTTTCGTCAACGAGGATTTTTTTTATTATTTTTTCTTTGTTTTATACAAGACTTTTACAAGTACGATAATTTTTATGGGAACATTTAATTTTTGTAATTTAACATTTAGTTTTTTTCTTTTTTTTTGGACTTAACATTACATACAAAAAATGCTTTAATGCACAAGAATCATGCATTTATAAATATAGGGTGTGTGTATCAAAAGTATATAATGCCCAAATTGAATATATACAAGGTTTAGTTCCAAATCATTTTCTCGTATTTGTTAACTAACTCAAAAGAATCCAAATCTTTATTCAAACTGGGTTCAAAATGTTTTGGCAAACAACAATTTAAATTTTTATGCAAACAGATTTTAAAATTTTCTGCAAAGGGGTTTCCAAATTGGATCTTGAATTTCTTTCTAATTTTATATTTGGATTATCATTTAGTTGTTTTTTAAAGTGGAACTTAAATGTTTTCTGCAATCAGACACTTCCATAATTTGTGCAAACTACGTTTCAAACTAAAATCTGAATCTCTTTGCATTTAGACCCTTGAGTAATTAATTCCCAAGTGGAACTTAAATCTTTATGCAATTAAATTATTCAATTATTTTCAATCAAACATTGAAACTCACTGCAAACTGATTTTCAAGCTGAGATATAAACCTTTATGTATTTAGGTGTATGAGGTTTTCTGAGTAACATTTCATATTGGTTTTCTAACCTTTTTCCAAAATAGAATTTAAATCTAATTTTAATCAAACATTGATACTTTTTGCAAAATAAGATTAAGCTTGGATACGAATCTCTATAGTTCATTTTTTTTCTATAATACCTCTCAAATTGTTGTAAAGTTGGCAAAATTAATAGGGGGTTTGTTTTATCATGTTTTGAAGTAAATATGTCACATTGACGTTTGAGCTTTCGTTATTCAAAAAGAAAAGGTGCATAAAAAGTGTTGTGGGGTGTTTATTTGCCATTTACTTACCTAGAAAAGGTATTTTATTCTATTTAATTACTTTGTAGCACGTTTTTACAACAAATATGTACTTCGTCAAAATCGTATTTACCTAAAAATTTATTAGTATTTTAACCTCAACTAAATAGTTACTGAAAATGTTACTAAAAACCATGAAAACAACATAAATTTTATAAGGGTCCTAGATAATACCAACAGAAACCCTAAATAATTTACATTGACAAGTATTATAGAAAAAAAACGAACTATATGTAATTAGGTATTTGAATTAAAACTTAATCATCTTAGTCAAATTGACTTCCAAATTTATTTGCGAGACAAAAGATAGATATCTTTGTATTCAGATATTGCATCTTTCTGTAAGCTAACATTAAACTGAAACCTTTAGGAATCTCTAAGAAATTAGGTACTTGAATCCTCTAAACAGCTTTTCAATTCATAGAATTCGTATTGGCATTTCAACGTAAATTACGGGTTTCTGGCATTGAAATAACTCACAATGGTGCACAATTATACAGCAACAATTAAGGGATAATACTAAGTTGCAATAAAAGTCGATTTTTTAAGTAATCACCATATGCCGATTTGCAACTTTTGTAGCCGAAAGGAAAGAGAAAATCGTAATACCACTTTTTGACACAATAACAAAGCAAAAAAGTTTAGTTTAAAAATAATATTATCTCCATATGGGCAAAAAGTGGAGTTACGACAGTTTACTTTTCAGCTAGAGATTTGAGAGTAGGCTATAACATGCATTTGTCGTGGTTGCAGTGACTTAGCTAATCAGTGTTTTTGTGAATTTATTGTGAAAATGAGTGCAACTCAATACCAATCAGGAAAAATAGTGAAAAGTGGTAAAAGCAATGTGTTTAAAAGAGGTATAATATCAAAAAAAGAGGTATCAAAGGCCGCAAAGTTCAAAATCGTAATCTAGAGCAGTCAGTTGAGAACGTTGAAACGTCGACAAAAAGAAATGAAGTTATCAGAAGATAGTTATGATACTAATTATGATAGTACTTGTGACTACAACAGCTTGTCAACAGTTTTCACAACTTTATCTGACGTATTAGTGTACATACATATAGATAAAAAATAGTATAGATACATAAATAACTGTCCAAAAATTCTGTCCAAACGAATAGTGTTGGCGATGCGTTTATTAGACATTGGTATAAACGGAATAAAAAATTCATGAATTTGCACGTCTCTTGTGTTTCACAACAGTTATTCAAGTTATCAACACTATTCGCGAGGTATCTGAAACTATTTGTTTTTCTTTTTCGATGAAAAATGCTGCCCGGCAGGAAAGAGAAAAGATTGCGGATAGTGGTGAAAACAATGGAATCACCGTCTCAGGCCGAGATTTTTCGGGATTGTTTTGTCGATAGCATGGTACACAGGAAACTTGATGAAAAACTTGATGTTGTGGTGAAAAGTAAATTTTATAAGACATGATTGACATGGAAAAGTAAGGACGATACAGGTGAGTACATTGAATGGAAAAAATCTCATGAAACAGTGAGCAAGGTGAATTACGAGAGCTCGGCGGGAATGCTTTTTCGTGCAAATGAAAAAAATGGTGTTACTTATATTAATTATATGAGTGACGGAAATTTGGTGACGGAAATCCAAATGTACATCAAAAAGAGTGCATCGATTAATTAAATTAACAAATTGATTGATGAAGTTATAATTTATTATGGACTGGCCATACGTAGACACTGCCACTCTATTGTGAGTATGAAAACAGCAAACCATCAAATTTCGACCAATGAGAAATCTCAACATCACTGAAGCCCTAAGGGTCCAAGATCGTAGTGTGCTTGGTAATTACGAAAAACAGTTATAGGAGATGAAATTAATCAAGAACATGGTCCAGCAATGTTAAGCGATGTTTTTGAGGGTATCAAAGCTATTTACAAAGAGTTGAACAGCGATGAGTTGCTTAGGTGGGTTTACTCAAAACTCCAATAAAAGTTGTAACGCAATGATCAATCGCTAGAAAAACTACTTAACGAGCATCTCTTGCCTCTTTAGTCAGGGAGCGTTTAGATCGCTTTAGGCAGTGGATACTTATGTAGTGGCAAAAGTATCCTTGATATTTCCGTGAGCCTTGCAGTAATTTATTTCAACTTCATTAGTTGATAGTATAAGTTCATGGTATAACAATTGGATTTAATTGTTATAACTTTTGCTCCGAAGCAGATACCACATGCATCGCCCGCCTTGACTATAGAGGCAAGAGATGCTCGTAAAGTAGCTGTCGAGAAACGATCAGGAACAGAAGGATGTTAATGTCGAAGTCAACTATATATTTGGATCTTTTAAGGCGTTTTCCTTAAAATAACGTTTTTCCAGACAAGTGATTAACTACCGTGTTCAATTTTCAACCGATCAATTCCAAATTTTATCAAATATAACGTTTTTATGACCAATTTTCAATTTTCAATATTTTTTTTTCTTCATATTAATACCATTTGTGTAGGGAGTATGCACAAGGGGCCCACTGGGGCCTAAGTGCGCGTAAAAATTACGCACCTCTATACATACATACATACTATTTGTGTAAATATTAATATTTCTTAAAAATCCTACGTACTTCACTACGTTTAGACATCCTCCTATCAAAATCATTTTGGGTTTTTTCTTCTAGATGCAAAAATGCGCCCAAGAAGATCAACAGTTTCCATTCGTCAACAATTGCAAAGCCGTTTAAATTTACAACCTCAATTAATTCCAAATTCCAATCCTTTAACAACTTGGAAACCTCAATTCAATATATTCTATTCGAAGCTGTCTAATAATAGCTTCTAGATAAGAACTCACCAAATCATTATTTTAAAGTGTTTCCAAGTGAATTTCTTCTAGCTAAGTAATTTACTTCTTAGACTTCTTTTGAATGTTAGTGATGTGTTAGCAGTACGACTATCCCAACCCTATACAACTTGATTAATGTGTCAAGAACGTTCAAAAGGCAACGATGATGGCAATCTTTGGGTTCTTGGGTTCAACTGGGTTCTTTATTTATTGCACATTCAACCAAAATTAAAAAAGGATACGATATCTTTAGTTTTGGAGAAAATAAAATACATAAAACATAACTGGGTTATGAGTCCACCCGAATTTCGTACAATTTTTCTTAGGTCAGCAATGTAATTATGTAAATCATATATGTTTTATAAATTAAAAGCTATTGATGAAGACTTTTGAGTAGTCTTAATGTGATAACTGCTTTATTGTATCAAAAGACCGTATGATTTTATTTCGTTTGGATGTTAAATTAGGGCTAACCAAGCAATATGTAAAAGCTCTTAGGCTCAAATTTTATCAATACCACTTACCCTCAAGATATTGATCAATTAATGTTGCAATATAACAATTTGGAAGCAACATGTTTTTCCAAAATTTTATGTGGTTTAATGGAAAAACAAAGAAATCAATGATAACAAGGTAGATTGAATGCAAATATCATAGTTGATTAAAGCTGGAGCATTCAAAGTAGTATTCCTAATGCTAGAAAGTTTAGTCAAATTTGAAATTCGTCAAGCAAATATTTTTAGAATAATGTGTATAACGTAATGCAACAAAAACACTATTTACCAGTGTTCTCATTGATTTGCTTCAAAGAAAAAAACATCCCTATAAAATATAAGTGGTTGTAATTTATTTATACGACGAGGCTATTTAAAAGAGAAAAAGCAAACGAGATTGTTAGGTAATGTTTAAGGTAAGCTCAAGAGAGCTATTAATGATACTTACGACCTTTACCATAAGTCGCAATGTTTTTACCCTCATAACCCGAAAAGAAAATAAACCAAAATAAATAATATAAACTGTTTGATTAATTCTGGAATAACTCAAGTTTGCTTAAAGTTAAAAATCACATAAAAGTATTCATAACTATGTAAATTGGGTACCTAGTTGTTTACATTATTATTAGTTTGAAAACTGTTGTTTAGTCGATACCTTTAACAGCACGGTGAATTTATTTTTGTTGAGGAACTTGTTAAAAACTTTTATTTCAATCATTAAAAGTAACATTTTAAAATTTTAATCAATATTTAGGATTTTTAATTGTTATTCGTAATCATTTGATTTTTAGTAGTATTTGTTTGGGTAAAACATTTCATTATTACGTTCTACAGCGGGATAAATTCCATGGAATTAATTTGGGTTGTTAAGATTTCAGTGCAATCTTAAATTAATTCTAAAGGAATTCCATGCAATTTGCCGCATAGTTTCAGTAGATTCCATAAACTTATGTACTTAAAATGCACGAGATTAATGGAATAATACTGAAAGCAAATGAATAACAAAATTGCTCATTTCAACTTAGAATTTAACACAGAATTAGGACTTTTAAAATTTCAACTTGGTATATCATACCTTTGAAACACACAGTGTTAACTTATTTTTTATCCCAAAAATGTAAAAAGCTGTCTTAACATCAAACATTTTTCTTTTTACATTTACACAAATATTGTATACAAATTTCTTTGTATTCAAATAAGAATAAATAAATAAATAAATTACAATTTTACCTTTTAATTTATTCCTCATCGACAAAAACCTATCCTCATAAAAATACCTGGTTTTTCTTTAACCTTTTTTATAATCTTTTTCTTTAATTTTTTTTTAATTTTCCCATTCTTCCATTACTCACCACCCAATTCATACACTCTCAAAAAAATATTATTATTATTATCTTACAGCTCCATCCATATCTTTGGACGGTCCTGCATCGGATTGACTAGAATTACCACTTGCATCTTGCGCCGGTTCTGGAGGATGTAACGTCACTATTGACTGTCTTCTCGTCGGAGTAACCGGTTGTGCATGCAAAATAGCATACAAAGGGCCCTGGATGTCCTTAGATGGACTCACTAGAATACTGGGTTCATCCTCCAACTGCATACTATTTTCGGCAGCGGAAGGAATCGTCGTTAAAAACCTAACAGTTAATCTTCCGGGTGATCCGGGAGGTTCTGACTCATCCTGTATGGCACACTGTCTTGTTAGCCTCGGTTTGTTTCGTAATCTTGGGACGTCGCTCGAAGCACTCGATCTGGATACTCTCCAAGTGCTTGTGGAAGCTGTCGTCGCAGAACCAGAGGAATCATTTCTGGAACTTGATAAATTTGAGTCTTGGGAAGTTTTCCTTGTGACTAACCAAGAAGATGCTCTTCGTTTTGGATCGAGAAGTCTTAAAGGGATTCCACAATGATGATTGTGCCGCCAGGAATCCGACCTCGAAGAGCTAAAATTTTCGCTTGATGAAACTGAAGAAGCTCTTTTATGTTGTTTTTGTTGAATTTCAGCTATTTGATAAGTGTATTGGTCATTTCTAGTTCGGTGCCGTTTCGGCTTTTTAATACACAACATCCACCTAGCTTTAGCTATTACCCAATCTTTCGTTCTAGTTTTTCTGTCAGGTCTTGTTTGAACTTGAACTTGATCCCCCAATAATTTTGCGTTACAAGTACAAGTTGGCGCATGATGATTTTGATTTTCCCTTGACGATCTATCCGCTAAACTGTTTGTGTTTGCAGGAGTTTGACGATTACTAAAATTCGAGCTATGTCGGCATCTTCCAATTCCTCGAGTTACACGACTTTCCTCGATTGCTTTACAAATCATGACGCAATCTTTTTTAAATTGTTTTGTTAAAATCGCGTATAGAAACGGGTTACAACAAGAATTTAAGGGTAAAACGAAAACGGTGAATACTTTAGCTTGTTCTAAAGTTATTAATTGCAACCCAAAAGCGGCCGTTAACGAAAAAAATGCGATCGGGGACCAACATAAAAAATCAGTAAACACTAACAATGCCATTCTTTTCGCAATCCTTGAATCGTTTGTATTCCACGCTTGAGACCCCCGAATCGCACAATACATTTTTAAATAACATCCCATTAAAATTAAGAAAGCTACACCGTTTATAAACATTAAGAAAACAACGTAAGTCAAACTAACCGCGTCTTTCGTTTCAAACGGCAAACACACAGCGAATTTTCTATAATCGGAAACACTAAAAAGAGGTAAAGTTGCCATTACTATCGAAAAAGACCAACCGAAAATCATTATATAACTAGCGTGCTTTAACGAAAGGCGTTTATTTAAGTGCATAGCGTGAGTTATCGCGTAATTTCGTTCTAGAGTGATGACGGCTAATGTGAAGACGGATAACTCGGAACTGAGGACTCCTAAGAATCCCGCTAATTGGCAACCAACAGACATTTGCCAAGGAATAGCGTACATTCGGAATTCACCGAGAGTTGAAGCATCAATAACAGCTAAAAAACCTAAAAAGAATTTTTTTTTGTAATTAAAAAAGAATGAGATAAATACCAACCTAAATATAATCCCATACAAAAATCCGCTGCAGCAAGATTACAAACAAGAAATCTGGGAACATCCATTTTACTTCTGGAAAATATTAACACAAAAACAACAGTTCCATTTCCTAACATAGCACATAGAAAAACGATCCAAACTCCACATCGAAGTGTCCACCAATCGAAAAGATCCTGACACGGAAGAAACGGCCCCGGTGAAGGTAAACATTGTATCCTACCGGATGTGACTTCAGTTTCTGTTAGTTTAGCTTGTTCCTCTTCTGAGTACTCGTCCACCCATGTACCGAAAGTATCCGGATATGTTACATCAGTTCCCATTCGATTCCACCAGTTTTTAAAGTCAGATCCTAATTTTTGCGAAACATTATCTATAAAAACAAACAAGATTATCGATTCAAAAAAGATAATAATAATAATTAATAACCGACCATAAAACGGAAATATATTTGTGGAAGAGTTCCATAAGCTGAGATCGATATCGTGTCTCTTTGGAAAAATAACGACATCTTTTACTTCTGGGGCTGGACTCGATAAGACTAGAGGAAGAAAAGCGCAGCAATGATAAGCATACGCTAAAACTAACGTTTGTATCTTAGGAAACGCTTCCGGTTTTGGAAAAACCTTTAAATTTGGGTTATTAAAAGTTTTAATATGAAGAAGATTCTCCAATCCGCCGTAAGGAAGATCCGGAAAAATGTTGTTTCCTAAATTTCTGTAAAAAAAAATCAATCTAGTAATCGAAAAGCTCGTCTTATATTAAAGATTGATGAACACTTACAAATCCTGGACGTTCGGAATCGACGTGAAGGCGTCTGGATGGATCCGCACGACCTTGTTACTCTCCAAATCCCTGCGCAGACAAACCGCAAAATGACAGGAGGTAATCCTTTCCGCGTCCAAAAACAATCCGGCAAGTTTTACCCATCAATTTCGAGATAACCCAATACCGGAGGGGACGGGACGCGCACACAGCACCGAAGTGCCGCCAGTTAACGGTACTTACAGCGTTTGCAACATAGTCAGTCCGTAGAAGGCGTCCTGCGGAATCAATTCGATCTCGTTGTTCGAGAGGAGAAGGTCGTGCATCTGGGACATTCCGCGAAACGGACGGCCCTCCAACGAGCCGATCCTGTTACTCGCCAAATCTCTGTCGACAAATAACTGGCTTAGCGGATACCCCAAATTACATTTATCGTTTCAATACAATCTACCATTATATTTTACCACCAAACTTTTATCGACCATTAAAACTTTTTATCGTTTTTAAGTCAATTTGGAACCATCACAAAATATTACTTTTTTTACTTTTTCATTATAATATTGATGTTACTCCATGTACACGGAGTTTTTAAGCCGAACTAGAAGTCAACAGGATGTAACCCAGGGTGATCAATATGGCAATACAGGATATCACGTGACACATATTAGTTAGATATGTTGAACGACCCTGTTGAGAAATTTCGATTACTCAATTTGTTTGTGTTGCGTCATCTACATAATAAACAAAGCATTTATTGACATTATAGACACATATTATAGTAACTTATCGAACTGTGTAAATCACATGACAAAGAGATCTAATTAATAGTCTATTTAGGAAGAAGGATGAGACATAATTTCCACCAGAATGAACATGAACATGATTGGCTGGATCGTAGATCGTTTTACAGGAGAAATTTATTCGTTCATATCAACGTACCTCAGACGTTCACAAGGATTTGCACGCAAGATTCGTTTGGAAATAGATTTCAGGCATGTTCTCAAGTTTGATTTTATAGTTTGTACATGTAGAATCAGTATTGCTGTATTGCGAGATCTGTTGAAATTTTATCTGAACACTAATTAAAACTATTCAATTTTATGATCACAATCAATTTTATTTGCGTTGGCAGAATAACTTGTATGATATTCGCTAGAAGGAGAGTATCAGAGGTCATCAGAGATAAAATTAGATGTCATCAGTTAAAGAAACGTGCAATATTCACGAAGTAAAAGATTTTCAAGAAATGATGTCTGAAGACGAAGAAGTCGAGGAAGATGAATCAAGAAAAAAAAATAGTTTTAATAAATTGCGTAGTGCGTGATGAGGAGGTTATAAATGAAAAAAAAAGTTAAATGATGAAAAAATAGGCAATTCAGATATTCAATAATGTGATAAAGCTGTAAGTTCTAAAAATTAATCAGTTAATTGGAAAAAAAACTTTATCTATCCAAAAGAGTACCTACCTAAACAAAACTTTTTGACAAGTTTGCCAAGGGTTGTCAAAACAAATTGTGACATAAATAAAATCAAGTTTGACGTAAACTTAATCAACTGACTTAACAGTAATCAAGCCAACTATTGGTGTATAATGGTGCAGAAACCCACAAAGGTGGAAGATGAATTTCCGAAAGTGTTGGGGTTGTCTTAATCTTAATTTCGATGTTGCAGAACCAAGTATGGCATGTTACATGTTATACTTAGTTGACTGGACAATTACTGATATAGTTTGATAAAATTAGTCAGAAATCGCTACCCATTTGTGTTAAGTTTTGCTGCTCCATTTTAATAAAACCAATCAAATAGCAGATAGTGAAGGGCAATACAAAATTAAGATGCCGTAATGGAAGCGGTCTCTTAACATGTTTAAACCAAAACCTCAGTCTTAACAGTGATGAAATAACAAAAAAACTGACTTAAAAGCTTACATCTCTGGAATATATATCTTAAAATATAAGACTAAAATTATATCTTATCAGTCTGCAAAGTTATGTATTACGTAAGTTTGTAGGTATTAACGTCTGGTGTTGTTAGAAGTAAAACTAAAACTGAAAACAATCGAATTATGCCGTGCATCTACTAAAACAGTGTCACAACATTGCATCAGAACCGTAAAAAGCACATTAATATACGCATGGTCTAACCTGAAAGATTCTCGCTATAGTTTTGTTTCAAGTTACGCAACTATGTACAACCTGGCATTTATCTAGAATTATTTTTTTTACTTAATAGTTACTAATGACACCAAAAGCAGCTTTTTTGAAATTGTATTTTTCAGAAAATTCCTGAAAGGTTTTATTCCGAGAAACTATTTCAAATGAATTGCAGAGACGAACACGATAAATTTACAGGAAGCACGAAAGAATTACTAAACTGCATCTCAGACAAGGTTAGCTAATCTAACATATTATCGTAGGCATCTTTACGAGAAGTAGACTGATAGACTCATAGAATTTAAGAGTGTTCACGAAATCAACTGAACGTCGACGCATCAGGAAAGGTAGCGCATATCCTAGAATGTTCGATATCATCGCCTTCAGTTGCTGCACGTAATAATGATTTCAGCAGAATAAATCTTAGGAGGAAACCATGTCTGAATCAAACAGAGTAGGTCGAGATCTATATTTAGATTCATTGCAGTCATAAAGATAAATTTAGTTTTATAAAACACTATATTGGTCAAAGAAAATTTCTGCCAAAATCCTACTATCTTTAAAAGTCTTCCTCATTCGCACAAACACACAAACAGGATCTTATTCTTGGATCGATTTTAAAAGACCTTGTTAACCACCGGCAGGCGCAGTCTTTTTAGCAAAAAACAAACACCATAATGAGTCGAAGTGTCTTAATTTGCCCATTAATGCATGATGAACTCTTATGTGCTGGGTAACGTTATTTATGACCACTAAAAATTTTATGTTTTTTTAGGATGTTATAGATAGCTTACCGATGGAGGTGTCGGACAATATACTTTAAGTATACTGTAGTTACGTAAGTTATCACGTTCTATAGAATTGTATGTACAGCAGCAGATTTAAGCTCATGGATTCCATTAGAATTCAAGGAGTTAGACGTTGAAGAAGTATCCTGGAAGTGACGTCGCCGAAAATATTCAAGACATGGTTGTACTCTGGAATCAGCAATGTATCAGCTGATGAATGAATTAAAGGATCTTTAAGATAGTTTTGTTAAAATGTACCTTAACGTACACCATGAAGGTGTTGGCAAAGAAACAAAATTCAAACTTTAGGTTGGCTATGTATATCTTTAAGGCATATCTCGTAATACTGCTGTCTAAAGCTTTTACCGTATCGGACGTTGATTCAGTTAGGGACGAAAGAGCTGGTATAATTCAGCTAGAACGATACCAGCATCATTACGGCAACGTAATACCAACGATAATACCTCATACTACAAATTCCGCCATGAATACTAGCATAAGACTTTCTTCTCAGTTTTGTAACAGGATCTGGAATTGAGGAAGGGATGCCAATTCGTTATCTTCCACACTATAATAGTACATCTATTCCACACAAATTAACTTTTTTTTACAAATTTGACGTTAGTCTCTCTTTCAGAAATAAAAATACTCTCATCATCTCTCATTCCAGTATACTCAAACATGATCTTCATGATTGGCATCAATTGCACATATCAACGAATTGTAATGCACACATTGATTAAGAATAGAATTGCATGTTCGTGAACACAAAAACCCAATTAAGATGTACATCGAGGCTAGATCTTGCGAATGTGAAGACATTTTTAAACATAAATGAAATAATAGCTATACCCTTATCAACGACGATTTAATGATATTTAACATACAAAAAGTTTACTATTATTTTAAATTCTTCTGAGTCTTTAAGAATGTTTGAAGATCGTCTACATTTCCATCTCCCGCCTCTCTCCATGTTTTTCCTCAAGATGCAACCCAATACATTTACTTATAAATAAATAATGGATTAAATAGCTAAAAATAACCAGCAAGGAGCATGAAACGACCGATGAAAATGTAAGCAACCATACGAGTGTATAGAATGTGTATATGTCGCAGGCAAGTGGTTGTTTCAGGTAAATAGTTTTCTCCTAGTCAGATAAAACAAAGTTCACTAACTTTGACGAAATCATAATACCACTCAGTACCACTTCAAGAATGGGGAATTTTATACAACTTAAGGAGCCAGAAATCGAAAACGTTATACGAGCTCTGAACGCTAAAAATACGAAAGATATATACGGATTATCAGCAAAGCTACTAAAATCCATAGATACAATGATTTCCAAACAATTGTGTAAATTTCTGAACATGTGTATAGAGGATGGATTTTTCCGACAGAATTGAAAGTTGCTAAGGTAATACCGATTTACAAGAAAGGTGACATTAATGACTGTATAAACTACAGACCTATATCAATATTACCAAGTTTGTCAAAGGTCTTTGAAATTGTACTAAAAGACATGATTGTGCATTATATACAAGAAAATAATATAACAAAATTCCAGCACGGGTATCAGAAAGATAAATCCACCATTACAGCACTTCTAACTTTGGTACAAGAAATTATACAAGGATTTGATCTTCAACAATTTACGCAGATAGCTTTCTGTGATCTCAGTAAGGCTTTTGATAGCGTTGATCATGAGATACTTTTGTATAAGTTGGGGAAATATGGATTTCACTGTACAGCATTGAAACTAATCAGATCTTATCTGTTTGGAAGAAAACAGTGCGTGTACTGGAAAGATCGTCAATCTAAACTAAAAGATATAACAACAGGCGTTCCGTAGTGTTCGGTANTTAGTAATAAATTTTGCTTTAATTTTGAAATTATTATTGTTCAAAATATCTCAAACAAATGAAAATCGGATTTGAACATATGGGCTTATTTTGCTTATTTTAGCTTCCTAGACATGTTTCCAAACAATTGTGTAAAGTTCTGAATAAGTGTATAGAGGATAGGGGAGTTTTTCCGACAGAATTGAAAGTTGCTAAGGTAACACCGATTTACAAGAAAGGTGACATTAATGACTGTAAAAACTACAGACCTATATCAATAATACCAAGTTTGTCAAAGGTCTTTGAAATTGTACTAAAAGACATGATTGTGCATTATATACAAGAAAATAATATTATAACAAAATTCCAGCACGGGTATCATAAAGATAAATCTACCACTACAGCAATTTTAACTTTGGTATAAGAAATTATACAAAGTTTTGATCTTCGACAATTTAAGCAGATAGCTTTCTGTGATCTCAGTAAGGCTTTTGATACCGTTGATCATGGGATACTTTTGTATAAATTGGGGAAATATGGATTTCACTGTACAGCATTGAAACTAATCAGATCTTATCTGTTTGGAAGAAAACAGTGCGTGTACTGGAAAGATCGTCAATCTAAACTAAAAGATATAACAACAGGCGTTCCGTAGGGTTCGGTATTGGGACCCCTTCTTTTTTTGTATATAAATAATTTACCAGAAAATATTCCAATAAGCTCTATGTGCTTATATGCCGACGATACTTCACTTATAAATAGACATACAAATATTGAAATTTTGAAACAGAAAACAAAGCATACAATACGGCGGGCTGAAGACTGGTTTAACACTAATAAATTAAATCTGAATACAGATAAAACCAAGATACTCACCTTTTACACTAACCAAGGGGGTCAGGTAACAAATCAAACAATAAAATTTCTGGGTGTTGCACTGAATGAAACTCTCACTTGGTCAGATGATATAACAAAACTAAAACAACAATTGCCTGGTTCTTTGTACTGTTTGAAAGTTATGGTTAAAAGCTTACCTTTGGAAGAAGTACGAAATGTCTACTTTGCGTATTTCCACAGCATTGCGACATACAAGACAATTTTCAAACTACAAAAGAAGGCGATACGAATCCTATTGAAAATGGTCCAACGAGACAGTTGCAGAACGCGATTCAAGGAATTAAAGATTATGACCTTACCATCGTGTTTCATACTTGCTTGTGTTAAACACGTTCATAAATATCGAGAAGAATTTTCCATAAACTCATACAAGCATGATTATAGTACGCGTCAAAGAGAAAATTTGGCGATTGCATACCATCGGACAACAAGAACACAAAAATCTTTCAATTTTACAGCGATGAAATTATATAATACATTACCATTGGAGATAAGGGCAATGAATTGCAGAATGTTCAGAGCCACGGTGAAAGAAATTTTACAGGGAGGAGAATTTTATTCTATTAATGTATTTTTTATAAATTTTGAATTGTAATTTATTTTCTTTGTTTTGTGACGATGTATTGTATGCTGTTTGTACCTTATTGAATAAAGAAGAATAAGAATAAGGATATTATCTGCCTAGGCAAATAGTTTTATTCCATTTATTTCTGTCTAAATTCTACTTTCCTAGGCAAATAGGATATGGCTAAAATATTTTCAGGCAAATTGCACTTTAAGCATTAACTTGTTTGTACTCTACCTTTTCTAGTCAGATCAGAGAAATTTTTATATTTAGTATTTAAGTCTTCAAGAAATAAATCGTTTATTTGCATTTTTATTAAACTTAATAAAAGTATATGAAACTGTTATGCATTTTTTTTAAATGATACGCAAATAATTTGACTCGTTTGACACTCATTAGTGACTTTAATTTAAGAAAAGTGGGTTGATAACGATAGGAACTACTTTATTTTATTGTGACCTACTCTATATTGCATTGTTGTATCGAAAAAATGGTATTTGCCTAAAACAAGCTTAGACAGATACTATTTGTTTTGTCCAAAAGTATTTTCCTAGACATTTAATGATAAAACTGTAACGAACTACTGTTTGCCTAGACAGACAGTATCTGACTAGGAAAAAGCCTACCTGAAATAACCATTTGCCTGCGACATAAAGAATACGTGACTGTATGTTCTCGAACTTATTAACAAGCGGGTTTTGAATGCGGTTTCAATAATGTATAAGCTACTGGTGTTGGAGTGGCGATATGTAGCAAAATAGGCGAGTTTTACTTAAATATTACTACATATAACTTAAAGTTGTATCAACTACTGTGGTCCAAACGAACTCATGCTTGCTTTCAATAGTTTTATGTAGTCAAATGAACCAAATTATTGCTTATTTTAATTAACAGAACCTCAAAATGATTCAAATTTAACCACTTCATATCTAAATAAATTATAAATCATACATCGTTAAGTTCGCCGAGTCATAAAACAACGATATCAACTATAAATAAAGCTCAATTACTAAGTTTGTTCTCTTTCTTAACATAACAAACAAACCAGAACAGGATCCGGTATAACGCACTCGTTTCCGGTAATCTCGCGGTTTTACTATACACGTACTAGTTCCTATGGAATGGGGTCAGTAACTGTGTCGGGGTTGTGGTTAAAACTCGCCGTTCGTAAACAATTCCAACATAACGTACTCGCATTTTTACGATCGTAAAAATAACCGTAACCAAAAAAGATAAGGGATGTTTTGCATATAAAATAAAATGATTATTATGTGTAATAATAAGTGGTGGTAATAATAGTTACTTACAGGACTCGCATGTCCTTGCAGTTATTCAAGTCCGGGATGGAAACCAGCTTGTTCGACTTGAGATCTCTGTAACAAACGGTTTAGCAAATGTAAACCAAGGGTTGCCTATTAAAAGAAACGTTGAAGAAGAGAACTCACAGACTTCGAAGTCGAGGACAGGTGTAACATAACGAAGCGGGTACGCTCGTAATAGCCGCTCTGTCAAGTCGGAGAATTTCCAACAAAGATGTCCCATTTAAACTTGGAAATGTCGATAAACCTTTCGCTTCGGAGAGAATCCTGAAAATGGAAGGAAAAGAGATTGTGAATTTTAAGAATTATTTTAGTAATACTCTTTAAAAGGTTATTGAACTTAAAAAGAAACAGACCACCCACGTAAGAGGTCAACAGTTAATGAAGCTGTCCGTTTCGTGTCTTGATTATCTCTATTTATGCAACAATCTTCCAAGAACCCAACATGAAAAAAACTACTTAAAAAATTAAAAAAAAAAAGATACTTGCAGCTTTCGAAGTTTTGGTAGGAAGGAAAATGCGTGGGCATCGACGGCGAGAAGTGGATTCCTCTTCAACTCCAATTGAGCCAGCGAAGGTGTCCTTTGCAGAAGGCCTTTAGGGATGTACTTGATTCGGTTGCCTGATATCGACCTGCGGACAGATGAATAGCAGTTTACGTCTCCCTGTGTATGACGCCATCAATCAGGTTGAGATGAGAGAAGAGGTGGAGTGGGTTGGGAAAAGTGAGATTGAAAAGAACCAATCTGGGTTGATGTTGTCATCATGAACGCTTACTTAACGATCTATCATCTCGGTTAAACCGAAAAGAGCAGAAAAAAAGATAAATTATCTCGCTTACTGCATTAATTAATCGTAAAACTTCTCCCCCCGCGTGCTTAAAATAATAATTTAAATTAAATTTTCTTGAAACTGCGAAAATTAACACCGTAAAGTTTCGTCGTTTTCAAGACAACTTCCTCTTAGGTTAGGAAAAGGTCTTGAAACAAAAATCGATTTAAGATTTTTGGTTAAGATTTCTTAGACAAAATGACATGCAGACAAAATTGACCTTGAATGGGAAAGATAAAGATTTCGTTCAGAGACTTGAAGGTCATGCTGGTCGTAAATTTTCGTCCCAAAAAAAGGAGTCTCTTTCCTGAGGACTTTAGTGTCAGACTGAAGTAATGAGAAGATCTATTTGAAATCGAGTGGAGGGGTTGGAAATGGGTGACGGTTATGTGTGAATATTCTTTATGGTGGTGATGCCTTATTTTTATGGGGGAGGAAAAATATTGGAGTTACTCACAATTCACGAAGTGATGATAATTTGGTTACTGCCTTTGGGATTTGCGTTAATAAATTATCACATAACTCCCTAAAAAAATACAAATTCCATTTCCTCATGTATGTGGATATTTATAATAAAATACTTACAGGATGCGTAAAGAAGTTAAATTGGCGAAAGCTTCATCTTCGATTTCCCTGATTTGATTCCGTTTGAGGAGTCTGCAAGAAAACGTACTTGTAAATCGAAATTTAACCTGACCATCTACGAGCTCGATATCAATCAAATGCAGACTTCGACCGCTACCGCCGTCGAAATGTCAGGCTAATAAACCTCGAACGACCAGGAAATGTCTCTGGCGGAGAGGATTCAAGGGGGATTTATTGGACTTATTCCAAGCGAAAATTGCGACTCCATAATTTTATACGGCTAATACTATCTTTTCGACGATAACCTGAGGGTTTAATGCTCTCAAAACCGTATTTCTGTTGATTCCACGGTTTATTAGAACGAATTTACGACGACTTTAAGTGTTATTAAATAAAATTTATTTTTAACTCCAACAAAATCTATGTTTATATTAAAATTAATCACATAATTGTAGGGTATTTAAGTTGATACATAACTATTAATTATCTAAATCCTAAGGCTTAACGAGGTCAAAACCACAAAAACCCTTTTCACAGATAACGCAACGTTTCCAAATTAATTTTGCGACCTATCTCACGTCTTATCGTACTGTTGGATATTAGTTATAGAGATATATCACAAATTAATTATCGAAACGAAAATTGAAATAATTTTCTTTCTAAATTACATAATTGCTTATTTAAAGAATTAAATCTTAATAACATTTTTTTTTATTGTGTCAATTCTAGGAGATTTTGGAAAGTTTTTAGATAAGGCGCGGTTATCTCGGTTAATCCGAGGGGGTTGGAAACTTTTCTTAGCGATAGGCACCTAATGAAAACAATAATATCCGGGTTCTCGCGTTTATTGACCAAAGAAACTAATTCAAAGTTAGTTTTATATCATCGGCTTTTACACGCAAAAGTGATTCGGGGCATCGATTTCTCATCTTCAAACTAAGAAGTAGTGTTTGCAACTTTTGCACGTATCTAACCGAGATATAACCGCGTTTTGCCCAACTTTTCAATTGGTCAACGATCAAATTTATGGTGGTAATAAAAATAGATTTCTTGGAAATTTAATGGTATTGTAAAGTTTGGAATTTTACTGCAAGATTTTCTTGGTGGAGGAGCCGGATTTTATGTAAACTTTTTTTTGTTGTACTAAATTCAAATAAATAAAATACATACTTTCGTTAGATTTGCCGGTCTGATCTGTTAGTGAGATCGGGTTTCAACCCAATTTTTGTTGAAGTTTATCATAGTTCCAAACATCAACATATTTATATTAATGCGTCTGAAATCAGCTATTCTGCAGATTGATTTCTTTTAGTTTCGTAGAAAGTGCCGTATATCTTCTGATTTAGATCTAAATCTAATTCTGGAAATTCAATATAAATCGCACTAATCGATCTTTGTTTTTATTTGCTTATTAAAAGTCTTTGATCTCTTGCTAATGGTAATCGTAAGATATTTTGACTGGCATCTGTCTTTTTTGTATTAATGTGAGCCAGCGTGCCCCATTTTTTCCTGCAGAGTTTTAATAATAGAACGTAGAAAAGATAAATCGTCTGACGTCTTCCTATTTTTTCAGCACTTATTGATGCATCAAAGAACTAAAATACAGGCTCACCATTATGTATATTGTACTTACGATTTTCTTATGTACATGCATACATACTTATGTTTCGTATTTTCTCGTACACGAAACATATTGTATTACAAAAATCTAATATTTGCTCATTGCTTGAACTGAAATCCAATCTTTGAACTCAAACCTAGTTGATTTATCGTTTACAAATTTCTGACAACCATAATTATTAATGAATGATGTATAATGTGGAACATTCCAAGTCCGTGATGTTGTTCACCAACTTTAAGTTTCTCTAATAGTTCTTTCAAAAATTGATAGTTTCTGTAAGCAGCTATTGCAGACTTATTTGCAAATTTTTAATTGTAAATTGCACCGTAATACCGTTATTGATAAAATCAATGAGACAAAGCTGGGTAGAATACGTACTTCAAAGAAAAAACGAACCGACAAGGAAGACCTAAACTCACGTAGCAAGGAATTGGATTTCGAAGGTTCGTAACCGTCACCAATGACAATGCACCTTTGAGGAGAGCAACGCAGGGCTGTGACGTCAAGACAGAATTGTAAAATATTTAAACAGAAAACTCACTTGAATTACAAAATTCTATTGTGGAAGGCTGTCAAATAAAAACCAAGCAATCCTTTCAATATTTTGGATACGTGGATGTACTCATAATATACAAAATTGGAGTAGTATTAATGGCTATGTTATTCCAAATCCACAACCTCGGTTAACAAAAGATTGGGGTGAACCGAATTGTTATCAGCCGGAGTTTTTGAGAGACAATATTTAGCAGTTATTTACATTAAATAATTGACAGCGATAAATGTTATATTTGAAGATCAAAATAGAGTCACAAACCAATTCGATGTGGGAATACAATTTCAGAGTGGAAATAGAAAGATCATCATACAGAAAATTAGACACATTGAGGAAGAGTAAATTCTACGCAGATACTTTGAAGTAATACTTATTAAGAAGGACGGTTCAAAAGGAGACGAGAACAGTGATGGGCAATAGCTTTCCTGCAACTCGCCACTAGTTGGCCTATTCATCAGGTGTCTGCTCGTAAATTTTTTTATCCCTATAAAAACAAAAAAAGGAGTGTTGGACTGAGCTTGGGTTGGGTTGGGTTTTATAGGTTTGCAGGTAAATGGCACCTGAAAAAACCGAGGCCATTATGATGAAGAGCAGGAAAATTAAAAAAAGAAATGGAAATCGATGTGGAAGGCTGTAAAATAAAAACCAAGCAATCTCTTCAATATTTTGGAGTAATGTTAGGTAAATATCTGAGATAGAAAGACCACATCAAATACATAACAGACAAGACGCACAGGACGGTAAGTTCAATGCAAAGGGTTATGGGGTCAATATATGGACCAAGCAGTAAAAAGAGAAACTTGATTGGGCCTGTTATCTATTTTCAATTATTATATGCATGTAGGACTTAGAAATATGCGTGTGAAGCTAAAGATTTAACAAAGATAACTAGAATTCAAAGAGGAATTTTAATAAGAAGTTTAAGTACATTTAGAACTAGCTCAACAGAAGCTCTGTAGTTTGTAGGAAACTCACTACCAATGGGTTTAATAATTAAAAGAAGAGCAGTAAGCTGGGACAAAGATTTCGACGTACGTAATGTGTAAAAAGAAATAAAAGAATGGAAACAAAGACTTTAAATTGATGGGTGAAGAGAGTCTGGAATGAAGACTACCATCTTAGTCAATTTCTAATAGGACACAGATGCTATAAAGCATACTTATGTCTACATAAAAGAGCAACAATAGACGATATTCAACATACCTTCTATCATTGTCCCAGATGAATGACTGAGAAAGAATATCTGAATACTTGCGTGCTCAAATCATACCACAGAATACGGTAGATCGTATGTTGAACAATGTGGAGGAACGGAATACCATAACGGCATTTGTGAATGGAATTTTGGTTGAGAAAGAGAGAGAGAGGAGAGAGTACGACAAATGGCCCTTTCGGCCCTATCTTGCCCCCTTAGTTGGGTATGTAACAAAACTATAAGTAATTACAAGGTCTGTTTTGCTACTTTTTCTGTATTGTCCTAGTAGAACCGTGCTACCAAGATGAAAAATTGAAAAATGGCAATAACAAGGGAAGAAGAAGTAAACTAAACGGGCAAAACGCCGAAGGAGATGTACGAAGGAGGTGACAATTTTAGAATTACTAAAGAGTCTGTCGTATTTTATGTGTTTTATCTTTTCGGCGATGGTGTGGACCATATGAATGGAAGGAAACATTTTTCTGGATGAGAAATCTTTGAAGAGAAGATTGGCGAGGAAGAGAAGAGTAGAGGCTGAAGTTAGAAGAGTGGAAAAGTAAAGCCGACGATAATCACGATGGGTTGATGGTTAAAGCGCGACATCGTTATTTCTGGCCTCTCGTGGAGATTTGGGGAAGCATTGTCTGGTCACCCAAGAAACCAAGTCCAGGTGTCTGTTCGATTATCCCTGATGTCCTTAAAACAATAAACGGGTTCATATATTTATTAGATTTGACTTGGGTATCAGTTTATTCCGTATGTCTTGGGTGTCTAAACTTGTTAGATTGTAAATCAACATTTAGATAACAGAAGGTGTATCTCGGAAGAAACTCAATGTTAGTTACAATTAAATCTGTTAGCAAAAAGGAAACAAAAATCATCTTTAGATCATCCAGACAAATTTTGGACTAACAATAAGTGTATTCTGATCTGTAGATCAAGAAATTACACAAGGTGGACAAGCTTTGGTCAGGATCTTTAAGTCTATCAACACATAGCCATAATAGGGCCGTTAAGGTCAATCGATTAGAAAGACCGTCTTTCAAAAAATCGGTAATCTAAATTAAATTAGACGGATTAGTAACGTTTTCACGTTCGAAAATTGTTTAATTTTTGCAATAATTAATGTATAAGTTTAAAATTCCCCACCTCCGACTCCAGATGACGTTTTAAGTAAGAAGAAAGAAATCACAGACGTTACGCTCGCTAACGTTTTCTTCTGTTTTCTATTAGCGCATAAGATTTGTAGCATTGTCTCTCTCCAGGAATTTTATTGATTTTTGTACGCTCCAATCGTACGCTCAAATTTGAGTGATGTACTTTGGAATTCGCGCCCTGTAGTTTCAAACTTTATTATTTTTTTTTTGAAAAACTAAGCCTCAGAATCAAAAATTAAAAAATATGGGGTCAATCAATTTTTAAAAAATTTCGAATAAGCCAATAAAAAAAAATACTTAACGGCCCTATAGTAATTACTTTATCGCATTTTCAAGTTAAAGCTAGGTAACTGACAAGTCTATCTTCGAAAAATCATATATGGGCTGCAAGCTGTTTGTGCGGTAGGCAACGTAAGTCTAATGTCTTACCAAGTCTTACTAGTGTCTTACGTAGTGTTCATTGCCATGATTATCTGCTATTGATAAAAAAATTATTGGTCATAACTTAAAAACAAATTACTATCGGGAAGTGTTTTCGCCGTTTTTGCAAAATAATGTTTAGACGCGTTTTATTGAATGTATTCCATAATTTTGCTGTACACTGCATTCATTATTAGTTTAATTGCAGCTGCCAGTTTTGATATACGTAATACGTGATTGCATATTAAGCAGGTGTTACCAAAAGTTTAGTCCACTATAGCTTTCCTCATCGTTTAACGCTTTCCACGAAGAATCTGTAGCAAGTTTCCGGATGGTTAAAAATTAATTAATGGTGAGATGGCTTGTGCTGATTTCCCAAAATGTTAATTTTCTTTGCTTGAAATCAAATACATTAATGATTTTGCTTAGTTCAATAAACTCATTGTTTTGACTTCTATGATCGTTGTGCATTTGGATTAATTTGAATATTTTTGAATTTCAATCTCCTCAATATAGTTTACAATGTTCAAAACGTTGAAACTATTATTAACAGCACTGATATCAATTTTCTAACAGAACACCTTCTTAAAGCAAGAGATTTCGTTTCACTTGAGATCCTAGTGAGGTTAAGGGTTTCTCGAACTTTATTAGTTTTTCTATGTAAAGCTCTTAACAATCTTACAATCAAGTTTCTCCGTTTGGTTTCAACTAAATGTAATACCCCTGCGGTAAAGGACAAAGCTCGTAATAAAATTAGGAGGTTATGATAAACATCGCAGTAATTCTCTACTTGTGACTAATTAGATTAAAGAGTGCCTAATTTAAGATTGCACAGATTAAAGGAATCTAGATATATTTTTCAAGGAATGTGATTGAAGTATTCTTCCAATCGTGCTGGAATCAAAAAAGTCATCACAGATTACTCCTTTCATTGACTCTTGTGTTCTGTTGTTGCTACCCATGTTTCGACGATCAAAACACGATACGTTCGACGAGATTCTTGTGTTATATTAGGATCGCAAGAACTTGCAGGACAGACGGTGCCAGAAATGATATCACCTTTATAAGACAATTAATTATAATTTTGGAAAATTGTAATAGAATAAAATTACACCATAATCAATAAATATAAACTTAATTAGATTTATTAATTTTTTAAATAATCTTTGGTATTTAACACATCTTGTTTACGAGGCTTTATTTATATTGTTGAAAATATTTCTTGAAAAATCCAAACAATTAAGATATTTTCTTAGAATAAACTTGTGTTGAAACAAAATTTCTACCTGTTCATGAAATTCAGTTATTCTCTAACTTTGTTTGCGAAGGATAATTGAAGCAAACCAACTCAAAGACTGTCTGTTCGTCTCGTTTCTCTTCCTCTGGGAATTAAACAATTAGTATTCCGCGTCTACCAGCGAGGCAGACAATAATTAATTAAAAGTGCTAAACTAATTTCACAAACTTTTATAGATATTAAGCCCAAATCTGTTTGATTTAAAATAACTTCTTTAATTAGTATACATTAAAAAAAACCATTTTAAATTTACTTACAAAACTGTCAAGTTATCCATCATTGGAAAAGCATCTCTTGGAATCGATGTAACCAGATTATTTCCGAGATTCCTGAAAATAAAATCACATCAAACAAACATCGCAATTATTTTGTTGATAACGAGTATGGATGGTGTTGAAAATTTCAGGAAATTTTGTTCGTATGGTGTCGCCAATTCGTTTGCCAATTAAATTCGTCGTGTTTTTTTTTTGGTCATATTGTGTATTGTTATCGGTTTTAATCCGATTTATTGTTGTAGCATATAAATTTGGATTTTAATTCCAAATCAAACTATTAAATAAATTTTATTTTTTTAGGTTACAACAATAAAATCGTTTTAAAGTTTGTGTGCATATGAAATTTTTATGTACATATACATTTTCGTTTTAATGGTATTGTTTGCTTTTTTTTGTATATTTTGGTCCTGGTTACTCACAGGACCTCGAGGGAATGCAGCGGCTCCAGTGCCTCAGTTGGCACGCCCCGCAAACGGTTGCTGTCCAAACGTAAGTTTCTCAGCTCGTGGAGTGTTCGGAAAGTGAATCCATCCAGTCTCCATATCTCATTCTGGCCCAGCTGCCTAACCCAACACACAATTGCACTTACAACACACATAAATTCCTCTAGGTTTAAAACAACGTTGAATTCTAGCTCCAGATTCAAAACATACTTTTAATTTTTGTTTTGTAATAAAATTGGCGAACGAAAATTTTTTTCCATAATAAACTAGTACAATTCTTCATGTCAAGTAAATTTTTAAAAGTAACTACTTGTTTACGATGGTGTTTGGGAAAACGTAAAGGGGGAAATTTACTATAGCATTGTTTCGCGCAGAACTTAATAACTTCAACGCAAGCATTACGCTTTCATTCAACTGTCAAGTTGGGAATATTTACGGGGCTGTGGAATTGTTTGCTGCGGTCGTGGAATCGCACAAAGGCTCCCGGTTAAATGGACCGAACTAAGATGCGGTTTCCTCTTACATTTGTCGAGAAGTCGACCCGATTCCTACTACGACCACTTCTCTACAAATTCCATTTTTCAATAGAAACGGCTCAACTTAATGATCTGGTGGTTTACAAGATGTCGTTCAACATTTTCAATGATAAGCAAAAAAATAAAAATAAAACCGTTTCATTTTTTTTTACCTTTTCCCCTAGCAAATTTCTCTCCATGATGTTTACGTTCCTCTTAAACCAGATCTAAGCTTTTGTTTGTTCTCTTATTATTTTACTAAATGGGGTCCATTTAGGTCAGAAATAATAAGAGACTGGTGAAAAGCTTTTCATCCCTTTTCTTTAAAGGCATTCTTTTTCGACAAGGATTAAACTCATTACAGTCGGAAATAGAGGGGGTGCTTTCTAATTAATGAAGAAGCCAGACATTGTTCACTTTGAATAATTTTTTTTTAAGGAATTCCTTTACTTGACGTGAAGAATTTTTTAGTTTATATAAAACGGGATGAAAAATGAAATTAATGATAAAAAAATTAAATCTTACAGCGTTTGAAGTTGGCGTAATGGTAAAAATGCGTTTACGGGAATGTCTAATAATCCGCACCCGTGCAAATCCCTGCAACAAAATCGAAAAATAAGTTAGGGAAAAGTAAGGATTATTGACGTTGTTGAACTTTGTGAAACTCCAATAATCAGAAACGAGACCTCGTCAATACCTGTCAAGAAGTTTTTGATAAGCGCGCAACTTTTAATGATGTTTCCTTGCAAACTCCCTAGTGTGCACAAAGTAAATTAGTTAACTCTTATCTGGAAGTGACGTTGCCTTCAAAGATCCCTTATTAACTTTTCTCCTCGGTAATATGTGCAAAAAATATATAATACTATAAGAATTTAGCCACAAATAAATATTGAAGTTGCCATGATCCGAAATCCTAATGAAAATCTTATTAAATTAAACTCCTATTAATCGAAGGTTCTATTGAAGTTTCCATCGTAGATTCTATCGAAGGTTTATGGGCTATAATTGTAAACAGCGTGTGTTGGGAGCAAATTTCCTGTTGGCGATAAGCTTAAGTGCCTGTCAGAGGCGTGTTCCTACTCCATTGGGGAATCAATTATCAAGACCATTTCACCCTCAGGATATTAAGTTCATCGGTTGGGGTTTTGATTCAAGTCGTAAATGTTTAATTCTAAAGAGATTCTCCTGGTTTATGGTTGAACGTAAAAATTTTATTGATAATTATAAAGTACATTATAGAATTATGATGACTATACTTTTAACCCCCTCCACTTTAAAGTTATTTGAATAAAATAAATTTTTATTTTAAATAAGTTGTAAGAGATAATTTTTTAGAAACTGTAGGTATAAATAGGTTAATGCAGTTTAAAATCGATTCTTATTGATGATTAACTAAAATTCCATGACTATAGATAGCATAAAGGGCAAAGCTTTTAAGATTAATATCAATTAAAGTTGAAACATTTGTAACCCACATATAGGAATAAACCTGCCATTCTTGCTTGTTCTTATATAAAATAACCCAAGATAAACGAATAAGATCTTTCTAGGCGTCGATGTGCGTTAATTCTTATAAATATATCGCTGATGAAGTAAAGATGTCACAGTTTTTCTATTTTGGTTGAAACAGCGTCTGTCGTATCAGTTATCCATTCGTTGATAAAAACAATGCGATCAGAGATTTTTTAAGTCTTCAACCACTATAACAGCTTCACCCCGAAGCTATAGACATCGCGATCTTAATACCACTATCCACTTTTTGATCAACAATTAAATTATTACTTAATACATCACACAGGCTGAAGTTAAGTATTAATGATTTGCTCTGATCAGGAAATTCAAAACCAAAAGTCTTGGATAAATTGCTAATACTTTAAATAGTCGTCGTAGCATGGTATCACATTCAATGAGTTCAAATTCTGTTGCCACGTGATTTCCTGTCTAATTTTCTTGTCACGACTACTGCGAAACCTACTGCTGACTCTTTTTAGTTGCTGGAAGACATTCAGGTACACATACTTACAGGACTAATGCTGCCCGGTAAGTCTCTGAGGAGGAAGAACGTTGGAAGGTCGACCCATCTTGGTTAGGGATGCAGAATTAGAATTTAGAATATTTTCCCCGAATTACATTCATCTTATATTCCAGTGGCGTTTTCTTTCCCCCTTCTATTCGGTAAATTACAAATGAGTACCATAACGCTAATACTCAAAAAAATGGAAGAAAATCTTCTTGAAGTATTTCTTGCCTCGTTTTCTTCAATTTGGATATTCATATAAGTGTTGATCTACAGCCCCGATTGTGTCATTGTAATCTATTACTACTACTACTAGTGAATTCGAGCTTAAATTAAACGGAACGTAAAATTTAGATTCGCCCAAGTTAACTCAAAAGCGAGAAAAATTACAACAACTAATACAATGTTATAGAATTGAGTAAATTATTGGATGATCTGACTGTTAGTAGCATAGAGACGAGCCAACCTTTCTTACTAGAAATAAACAGATTTTGTATTTGGGCGAATTCAATTTTTGATGAATGATCTACTGCCCAACTGGACCCCAAGACACCAACTGGAATAGGTTTATGAGATACCTTGCTCACAATCTGACTGCTATTATCAATAGACAAATTTATAAGACAAACTAAGCGAATCGAGAAATCCATCTACAGAGTATCCTGCAAATGGCAAGACCATGTTGTGTTGCCAAAGCTTATGCATTAGGAATTAGAACATGACCCAGAAAGGCTATAATGACCTTATGTATTAGTATGTGGTTAAACGAATAATCACATATGGAGAAGAATATGAATCTAAAGTTTAACGAAACCAAATAATTTTAGAAAGTTATGTAAGCCAGAATTTTATCTGATGTATAATAATAATAGTTTATTGATCATCAGGTGTATACAAAAAAAATACAAATATAAGAACAAAATATGTAAAATAAATATCTACGATGATCAAACTTATGATGAGGTTCAATATGTACTGAGCTTCCACGTCACCATAGAACAAAAGAGAAAAACAGAAATTAATTCCTGAAGCGATAAAAAGATCAAAAGAAGTTACACAGATCTTACAAGTAAAAAAACAAAGCATAAATGGGGTCAAGAACACTGCTGTCCAAATAAAAAAACAGCACAGCGCCTTCTGAAAATGCTTATTGACGCACAGTCAGCCAATGCACAACAAGGAGGAAGTTCATTTATTACTTTGCATATCTGGTATGAAAAACATCTTTTAAAACTTACGGTATATAATATTGGTGAAGCTAATCTACCACTAAATCTAACATTGACCGAGTGCACGTCCGCACTAAAACGTACTTTTTCGTACAGGTACGGAGGTTTTTGTAAGGTTATTATTTTATAGTATAAACATAAGGTGTGTAGCGATCTTCTCCTCTGCATGTCTAACCATTTCAAAGTGGCCAACTTACAGTTTACGTGATCTCTGTGTTTTAAACCAAATATCAGTCTAATACAACTGTTTTGTACCTTTTGAATTTTATTTTTTAATATGTATGACAAAAACGGGGCATACAATGCCGTAGTTAAATATGGATAGAACTAAGCTTTCACATAGATGAATAGTGCTGTACAGTGCTTAATCTGTTGATCGAAGTTTGACGTATATAGAGCATAAAGTAATGGAGATAGTATAGAGCCCTGTGGCACCCCAGACCCAATATGCTGAAAATCAGACTATAGACCGTTCACAGACACCGCTTATTATTGAACCCCAAATACTGTAAGATTGATACAAGAGTCTCATGGTCGACCGTATCGAATGCTTTGGAGTAGTCCAACAAGCCAAGGGCAGTCAGGTTATCCCGTCAGTTTCCCGGACAACATCGTCTATAATGTGTATAAGTGCAGTAGTACAACTATAACTTCGTCTAAAGCCTGATTGATTCAGTGGCAAAATGTTGTTCTCCTCCACAAAGGTCGCCATTTGTTCATATAAGATTCGTTCAGCAATTTTTGAGAGCACAGGCAGGATGCTAACGGGTCTTAAATCGTTGAGACCTGACGGCTTATTAATTTTGGGCAACGGCTTGATTAATGCTTTTTTCCAAGCTTTCGGAAAGACACCGGAAGCTATACTTGAGTTTATAATATCGCGAATGTAGATATAGATGTCGGTTGCGACTCAAAATAAGCTCTACGTTCCCAGTGTGTAGTCGATGTATTTACCAAGTTACGCAAAGATTTATAATATTCCCACATTGTTACTGACATGTTGTTGTGGTACTTGGTATAGGCCTTACTTCGCAGCTTTTGCATGAGCTTTATATTATCTGTGATCCAAGGGGTCGGGGCATGCACTCTTGAGATTGTTTTGTGAGGCATATGCACGTCCAAAACCGCCAAGATAAGCTGCATTAAGCAGGTAACCTTGTCATTCACATCTCTTATGTCAAAAATTTGAAAAAATGGCATTCGAAACAAGTCCGTCAGAAAAATCTCATAGTCGAAGTATGTATATAATCTAATGAGAATATGAGATCTAGGTTCGCCGTTTGAAGTAATTTTACCACGCGTCATAACACGCCTCTCCTCTTTCAAGTTTCCTTCAAGATTTTGACTTTTCTTCCATTAACAGATGCATAAACTGCACCTTGTACCATCCAGACATTTGTTTTACCCAATCTCTTTCTAGCATGTTTACAATGACCAGCCGCGAATTCTTAAGCTTTTTCTTATTATTACAAACCATAGTCTTTTAGCCGATTCTAGAAAACTTTATTATAACAGCACTGAGACTGTTTCCGGCTTTTCCTACCCGGTAAGCCACTTCAACGGCATCAAAAAAAGGATAATGATATTCGTTACTACGGCAGCATCTACATTTTTGTCCACCCTTTCTTCTAAACCAAACAGCCGGACATTCGAACGCCGAGTGTACTGTTCGAGACGATCGTAGTCTTTACGTAGTTTAACATTATCTCTTTACAACTCGTCAATCCTTTTCTGCTGGCTCTCGAGAAGATTTGCAACACTCGCTTCGATACCTGAAGCCAGTTTTTGTGACATCAAGTCGTAGTATTCACTATTTTCTGACAGGCAATCTTTTAATGTTTGTTTTAATAAATTCTTTATTTCGGTTATTTGATTATCATTGAAAGTGGACATGATGATTATGAAAATGTTCAGGTAAACATTTCAGGTAAACATTTTAGGTAATTCAGGTAAATAGCTTTTTCCTAGTCAGATACTATCTGCCTAGGCAAATAGATTTATTCCATTTATTTCAGTCTAAATTCTTCTATCCTAGGCAAATAGCATATGGCTAAAATATTTTCAGGCAAATAGCTCTTTAAGCATTAATTCGGTGTATGCAATTATCAAAACAAGTAAATTTTTATTAAACTTAATAAAAGTATATGAAACTGTTACGCATTTTTTTTGAAAATGATACTTAAATAATTTGATTCGTTTGACACTCATTAGTGACTTCAATTTAAGAAAAGTAGGTTGATAACGATAGGAACTACTTTATTTTATTGTGAACAGGTACCTGCCCTATTAGACAAGTGACTATTTGTCTTGTAAAATAGTATTTGCCTAGACATTTAATGATAAAACTGTAA